AAATCTCTTATTACTGGATTCAGGATTCAGTTTGTGTACAGTGCAGGGCCAAGTGGCCTTATCACCATGCAGTGTTCTGCAGAGTAAGTGAAAGAAGCATGCTGTCTGCTCATGATACCCCCCCCCCCCTCCTTCCAGCTCTCTGACCCACTTTAAAAACACTCATTAATTTGGTCTAAATAGAGAGCACACAACCTGCCCCTGCTCTCCAACCGATGCTAACCACCAAAAGTCTAACTTCCTGGCATTAAATGGCAACTGGGGGCGAGTTTTATTGCCGTGGTTAGATTAAAATATTAGGCAACATTTCTCAGAAACATGGATGTTCTTCCAAACAGACATTTTTTGTTTTCAGTGGGGAACAAATCTTGCCTTTCACGGGGCAGATTTGCTTGCATCTTCCCACACGGAACAAAAAATCCCTCTGTGATCTCTCATGGGGCACAAAAGTGGCTTTTATTTATTTATTGGACACACAGGCGAATTGAAGCAGAGCCCAGTAAGGCTCCTACTTTTATGAACTTAAGGCCTTATATTGCAGTTACATGAATGTGCAGGGTTTTGAGGTCCTGGGCAGGAAAAAAAAGAGAGAGAACGGATTTGCAGGGGGTGATTATGGTTAGGCCTGGAGTTAATGGTGAGGGCGAGATTAGCTGCTCATTTAAGGGTTACAGTTAAAGTTGAAGAGTAGGTATAAGTTGAGACTGTTTTAGACCGTGTTCTCACACACAATGTTTAGGCAAGCATTAGCAGGACTAAAGTAAGGGTAATGGTCATGGTGGCTTATGGTGGTTTGGTGGTCATGTCCACCAAGGTCAGGGTAACGGAGAGACAGATGAACTTGTGCGCAGTGCCCTTACTTGTTTCTGCAACAGCTGCTGAACAAAATATGTCAAAGTGATGAAATATCCACACACTTGTAAGGTCTCTTTTTTCTGATCAAGGGGTGTGTGTGTCAAACAACATCATCCTCTGCTTCTGGGGGATCCAGTTTTTCTAACAGCTGGATGACATCATCCGTCTCCACCCTCCTGTGACAGTGCCAGACAGACACTGAGACTGCCACCAATCTGACCTCTCTCTCTCTCTCTCTCTCTCTCTCTCTCTCTCTCTCTCTCTCTGTCACAGCTGACTGAGATCATGCAGCTGATGAATGCGTATTTCAGTGCCATCCGTCGCCAGCGAGGGAAAGGGGAAGATGCGGACATCACTATAACAGACAGCACAGAGGTGGGGTTCTGTCACCTGGCCTCAACACACACGCCCACCCTCCTGGAGCTGCCCTCGCACCCAGTTTGAGAAGGACCCATACCTGGACAACCCCCAACCCCCCACCATCCTCCTCCACGTGTCCCCTATGAGGCCCAGCCCCAGTCCTCAGGACACCACGCCTCTTCCACTGGGAACAGCACGGCAGCCAAAACAAAGAGAGGGCTGTTTTCGCTCCCCATCCGTGAAAATAAACCCTCGCTGAGCTTTCCAGCTGAAGGAGCTGGCCGATGGAGGAGGGAGGGAGAGGGGAGGGGATGAGAAGGCAAGGGGGTTCTGTTTTGCAAGTGAGGCCAGAAACCCACAGAAACCAATGCGGTTGCTGATGAGCTGTCACACACCCTCCACCCCATCCTGTCACGCAACCACCTCTGTTACTCTACATGGCAACAGCCCTCACCCCCCAGCCCACCTTACCCCACCCCCCTCGACAATGTGAGACGTTGGCATGAGCCTTGCTACATCAGGGAGAGATAACATCACAACAGTTAGGACTTATGGCAACAATAAGCTGTGGTACTCCCCTCATGAAGGTATGGCTTAGAGTGCAAACACTACTCTGTCTCTTTTCTCTCTCCGTCTCTCTCGGAGTGTGCCATATTTGTATTGCCTTTCCTAGAAGGCAGTCGTCCCTCATGCACTGCTGGATTAGTGTTGAGAACATTCAGTGACACACACACACACACACTCCCGTCTTTGGCTCTCTCTCTTTCACGCACACATACACACTCACTTTACTCTCTCACGTGCCCTTATGCTGACATGTTCATCAGAGACGGTCGGTTTTCATAAGGTCCCGGTCGGGTTTGCATTACCTGGAACTGTTGATGCAGTGAGCCATGTGAACTTGGAACTGGAAACAGATGTTGAACTCTGTAGTTAAGTCACTTTGGCTGCCATTGCCGTATAGACTCTTACCTATGGGATTATCAGTGTGTGTGTGTGTGTGTGTGTGTGTGTGTGTGTGTGTGTGTGTGTGTGCACGTATGTGTGTGTGTCTGTCTGTGTGTCTGTTTGATCAAGAAATACATTTCCTGGATTACACATTCAGGATCTGAGTTAACTGTGTCTCACAGAAACCAAAGGATTTTGGAGCTGTGTCTACGTTGTCTCCACCAAATGCTCTCATGTGTCCTTTGTTGTGCTGCTTGTCTTGGCTGTAATCCTTGACACGAAACTTGGTTAACACTTGACTGATTTGATAATTTTGCTTATGTCAGTTACTATCCTAATGCAGCTCTACTCTGCTGAAAATAACTGGTGCTTCTCTGTTTATTATTGTTATTTTCACAATGTATATATGATGGAAGAATGAAAATTAGAGTACACGTAAAACCGTAGTCAGAGATCTGGATCTGAAGTGACGCCATATTTACCATGCAGTTCCCCGTCTTTCCCCTACAGCATTATATTGCTGCTGTGCCAGAAAACGAAAAATGCATAAGAATCATGTTATAACGTAAAGGTTTATCATCATAACAAGCTATTTTCACATTATTATGACGATTACAACAGACTCTTTATTCCTCCTGCACACTCCAATGCATATTAAAATCCCTCTCAGTGTACACACACTTATCACAATATCATGCAGAATGTCACCATGTCTCAACCCAACAAATCAAGTCATGCAAATGAGCTGTATCTCTCAATTTATCCATCTCCGCAAACTGTTTTCTCATTCAAACGTGAGTTTCATGTTATAACAATATGTTATCACATTATAACATAAAATTTTAAATGTTTTTACAGTATAAGTGATCACATTATGATGTGAATAAACAGTATACTGTTTATCTTTAAATTTTGTTATAACCAAGCCCCCAGAAACCACACAGGATTTGAAACCAGTTTTCCTAGTGGCCAAACCCTGGAACTACAATTTCCTGGTCCGTCACGTGATGTCATTGGGCCTTTACACTTTTTCCCACGAACCAACATTAGGGAAGGGACGTCTGTAAATCAGTGGATACATTTTTTTGAGCATCACAACACCTGCAAAGTGACTTCATTATTGGGATTACCTGTTCTATCTGACAACATTTCCTAAGTCTAGAAGAGCCACACGATTAAATCATTTTATCCCCATTCAAGTTAGCGGAGGGCTAAACTGGAAGTTAGCCACTCAGCTGACAGAAGTCTCTAGTGTGCTTGCTCTATTGGCCCAACAAACAGAAAATCTAGTTAATATTATACCCGGGAAGTCAAACCTTTTTGGCTTCATGCATCACTAAGCAACTTTTATAGGAATGAACAGGGCTCCGCCTCCAAGGCTGTATCCAGTTCTCTTTATACATCCACAGTTGTAACATGATAAGTTTGTATGTCATAATAATGTGAAAATATCTTATAATATGAAAATACTGTTATAACATTAAAAAACATATTATTATAATGATCAACTTTTGACGTTATAAGGTGATACTCATCTTTTTCTGTTTCTGGTGTGGCAGCAATATGCATCTGTAGTTCCCTGCTATTTAAACAGAAATCTTTTTAATCAGGCCATGGATGCTTTTGTAGTTATTTATGCAAACTTTGCTTTTTTTTGTTTTGTTTTGTTACTGTTCTTTATGTCTTAAATGCAGACCCAGATGTGTTTTGATATAAGGTTAACCAAAAGCCATAAAAGCTTTTGGTTCAGCTCCTTAAAGCAGTTCAGATGTGTAAATCCTGTGTAGCCCCGTCTTTGTGTTCACTGAGTATTCTTGTGAAGCCAAAGTTTTGCCAAGTCATGGGTTTGACCAATGGACCAAAGATGTTTTTTTAAATAAGCTTTTATAACAAGAAATTATCCCAAAGCAGACAGATCCCCCAATTTTTATTTGACTGTTTTCACATTTACTCGTTTTTCATTAAACTTGAATGTCAGACAAGTATGAAGACATCCTGTTGTTTATACACTTTATTTAATGTAGTAGATGAGACTTTAGATAGGCTTTGTAAATATAATTTTAGAGTACTGTCTTCTTCACAACTCCATGTGATAACCAGCCTCAAGACTTAAATCTCACCATGAAAGGCCTTGACGAGTCATTGCACAGTCAGCCCCGTCTCCTGCTCAGAAGCAGGTCTTTGCTTTTTCTACTGCAGCTGCAGGCAGCTCCGAGCTACAAGTATGAAAAGAAAATAAATCACACTGCGGATGTTGTTGCTTTGTATTAAGCTTGTTTGTACGCTGCATGGTACCTTTTTATGTAATGTGTGTATAGTTAATTGCACTATTGTTTGTTTTTAACTAACTTGGAAGTGCAATAAAAACTATAAATACTGTATGTAATTAATAAAAAACAGCACCATTTTACCATAACGTCTTTGGTAATGTTTAGCCATTCAGTCATTTCCTTTGTTTCGTTTTCAGAAAATGTGCTTTCTTGTGCCTCGACTAGTGAAGCAGTGAAAAACTATTGTTTTCAACCAGACATTTTATAAAAGGCTGAAGTTTGGCGCCAGCAGCAGAGCTCAGAGCTGCCTCCCCCGAAGCTTTTCTGGTTAAAACAATAGCTGGTTGAGCAAGTGTTGCTAAGTACCTTTACGTTCCCCTGTGGTAATGAGCCTTAACTGAGTTAGATGAACGGCCACCAGTATGCTGCAGCTCCAGGTGAGGGGCAAAGAGTGGTGTTTTATCATTCTGTAGGGTTGACTAATGGGAAGTAAAATGACCTTTACATAAAACCTACCAAGCATGTCTTCAGATAATACCAGAAACATTTCAAATGGCAAATAGAAAATAATAGAAAATGTGTTTATTCATCATTTCAAACAGGTCCAACAAGCAAAGCAACATCAAACAGTATATTCATTTCAGACGATACAGAGAGTGCCAGTGAACCAGATATTCTTCAAAGTATATTTACAGGTATAGAAATGAACTGTTCAAATGAAATCCATCCTTGTACACCATGTTAATCTGTGCAAACTGTTACTTTCTCTAATGTAGGTGGCAAATAATGTTAAAATGTCTACACCATTTATATAGCAGGTGTTTTAACATAATTTTTGGCTCAAGCCCAACTTAAACTTGACATTCCTGTTGGTCATGTACAGTGGTAACAAATGAGCAATGTGTATCAGCAGCAGACGGTACAACGCACCATGACAGAAATGTCTTGGATGAAAGAACCTGCATTAACCCTCCATACAACACATTCTGTCAATCTTACTCTCCTTATTCAAGGCAATCATATTGTAGGCGATGGATGTTTCACTGTAAATCAACAGCACAAAACTTAAGTACTTTACTCGGTATAAAAATAGACCAAAACAAGGCAACGGGTTGTCTGACATTGCTGGAAAAAATAGGCTACAAGGCAGGAAAGCTGAGTTTAGCAAAAGGAAAAAAAAAACAACTATTAACATTTATAGAGTGTTTTGTACAAAATGCTTTCTGCACAAGACTTGCAAAAAAAGAACTTTAACTTTTTCCCTCACTGGAGTTACAGGTAAGGACTGTTTTATTTAAACTATTTAAACATCACTCCAGGATGTGATACAGTCCAGTCCATTTTACAATTTGGTTATGATAATAACAGTGGCTGTTAACACTCATCCCTCGAGATTCTAGACACACGCATACTATACTACATAATGCTATAACAAGCCAATAAATATTTTTTTCAGAGAAGCAGCTATAGCCAAATGCCTGTCTGTTTTGGGACATCTATATGTGGGAGAAAATTGAAAGTGAAGAAGGGACGTAAGGTCAATGAGAATAAACCAGCTAAGCATGTATGCTGACTGGGCTGTAGTTGAGATTCAAGACAAAAAGTCAGTTCACTGTTCTTGCGTGCCCCAGGAAATGTAGTCAGGCCGCGTGGCTGCACTGTACTCATCCACCAGCTGCTGAACCACTTCGCGAGAGTTGTCCAGCTCATCAAAGTTGTCCTTGAATATGTCCTCTTTGCGGAACTGCTCCAGGAAGGCTTCACGCTTACGCAGTTTGTCGTACTGCCGGCACGTCCGCTCAAACAGCTGTGGGACAGCAACAGAGAAGACATCAGAATGAAATCTACTGCTGGGAAAGTGGGTAAGTTTCAGGTTCTTTTTTTAGGGACTTCTTCAGAACTTGCACACTTTGTGTTTTGTTTGTAACTTCTATGTAACCAAAAAGGAAAATGAAAACTATGACTTCACTGAAACTTCCTCAGATGACTGTAATTTCCCCTTACTTAAATTTAGGACCTAAAATAATGAGGAAAACATTGTTAAATTGGGCATTGTAATTTGACTGCCTGTAAAGGACCTTCTCAATCATTTTACAGTTAGTAATTTAATGACATCACAGGACTGCATTTTCCCTCAACTTCACAGCTCATGTTCATGCTCACAGTTTCAACGAATTTGACAGGATGACAATCCAAAACCTATTTTTTGTGGAAATCCCCTCCAACCACTGTTGTGGTGTCTCATCTTCATTTTTAGGACACTGTACAGCCTCAAGTATTGACCCAGAACAAACAGACACATCTCCACTGTAAAAGTACACACTGGAGGAGAATGTAACTTAACAGGCTGAGGTGACGCAACTCTTCGATGAGCACTTACAGAGGAGATGCTTGTGTGGTTGGCCATCATCAGGCCGCTGACTCTGTGGGCCGAGGGCAGGTATGGTGACTTCCTGGACAGAGCCACCTGAATGCTGGCGGGACCCCAGGGAATGAAGCTGGCAAGTTTACGCTCCCGGATCCTTTGGAGGCTTTTATGCACCTACAGTAGAGAATAACAAACTGAATACTCTCCAAACATTTTAGCTATTTGGAATTCACAAGAATATAGACTGATTCCTTGCATGCATAGTGTGCACTCAAACCTGTGTGGGGTCGACCTCTCCCTGGATGATGTTAAGGATGGCGATGTAGCAGTGGCTTGGCTGCCTCTCTCTTCCTGTAGACACCATCACGTTCTTGGGTTGCAGAAGCCTCCTCATCACATCCAGCACTGTGGTTTTCCTCACACTAGCAACCTAAAACACAGTGTGTTTAGTGATAAGTGACATTCAGTATTTTAAATATTAATTGTTAAATGCAAGAACACTTTACTTTACAGTTCACTGGTGCTGGGTTAACATGAAAACATTTTGCACCATCTGTATGATGTCACTTACCGACTGGTCAGTAGTAAGTGGTGTGTACCCGGTCATAAGGAAGTGGAGGCGGGGTGTGGGAATGAGGGATGCAATCAGGCCAATAAGGTCGTTGTTCATGTAGCCTGGGTAACGCAAGGTCGTTGTGCTTGCAGACATGATGGTAGAAACCTGTGTTTATGAAGGTTTGATTAGAAACAGAGCCTTAAATGAACTACAAACTAGTTGGCACTTACAAGTGAACTGCATATATATAATAGTGTAATATTATTTGTATTGTGTGTTTGTTTACTTGCCCAGGGAATGGGGATGAAAGTTAGCTTTTAGCTTTATATCCCTGTATAATGCATTGGATTTCGCGTATTTAAATTTGTTTATTATCTCAAATAAACCTTTAAATACATTAAAAAATAAAGATTTAAAGCTGGGCAATACATCAAAATAATTTCATTAATTCAAATTTGCTCCAGCACAATGTCTAAAATGTCTACATCATAAAAATCTTGTTTTTACAACACACACAAAAAGATCACTTCTAGTCAAAAAGTAACTGATGTTGGATGAAAACATTGGCTGTGTAATGTTGTTTCAAGTAAAAAAAAAAAAAGTATATATAACCAGCCCTGAAAGGAATGTAGCCTAAAGTCAAACTCTCCAAGTGCTGCTCCTGTAAAGCGAACTGTCATAGTACTTGGAAAGCGCAACCCTGTTCAACTCCTTTCCTGGAAAGCTTAAATCCAGTCTGACATGCAACTGACTCACCAAACTAGTTTGCAAATCATGTAATTTTTGAAGTGAGCGACATGCGTCAAGTACAGCCTGTCTCAACATTTGTCTTTGTCTAAATACAGTCAGGCAGACTGCAATCAAGAAGCATAACTTAAACCTCCTGACTGACGAGCTGAGAAAACAACCAGAGGACGTCGAGGTTGTAACACTGAACAACGTCTTTCACTCACCAGCTGATTGATCTGGGAGAACGACGGGTTCTGGATATGCAGCCTGTCAGTGGCGATGCGATTTAGGGCCGTGTTATCCAATACCACCTGATACACACAACACACACATATAGAGGGCAATTATTAGACAAATGAAGAGAAAACAGAGAAGAAAATCCCCTGCAGCAGAACAACACAGAAGGTCAATACACTGCTACGATGTTAATTAAAGAAAAAGTGAGAGGGTATCAGAGCAATGACGCAGTCAAGGAACCTCTTACGGAGCAACACAGTGTGCTGTTGTTAGCAGGGCTGAACATAAAAGACACACTGTACAGTTGCAACAGGGGGACCAATTCTTGAGCAGATTCTATTAGCTCTCTGGCTAATTTAATCAACATGAGGGCCTTATGCAAGACCCTGGAGGAAGTAGGTATTAGAGAGGAAACACCATTACACTGTTAGAGCATCTCAGACTAATACAATCACCAATTTAGGATTGAGATTTATTAAGTTTGAATGCTGGCACTGCAGTTTGCTTCTTTATTAGTTTGCTGCACAAGAACCTAAGCAGACTAAAAAGTGAGACTTTCAACAAAAGAACAGGCTGGAGTGAAAATTAGACTTCATCTGTCGTAGTATGTAGTGTCACAAATTAGGTCAGTGGATTTTAAATTTGACTTGATGTCATCTTAAAGTCTACCGCAATATCAGATGCATAAAACTCAAGTGACAACTGGGTAGTCAATTTACAAAACCACAAACTTAGAGGGTGATCAACAACAATCTGTCTTCATATTTGTGATGCCCCCCCCTTTCTTTTCCGGGGGGTGGAGGGGGAGTGTTCCTTTAGCGTTTTTTTCTGAGTGCTTTAACAAGTAATCTTGAAGCACTGTCTCTGAAACTAATAACACTTGTAGCTTTTGCATTTACCAAGTGCGCAAAACTGAATGCACATTCTATACTTTACACTCAGTTTGTAATTTTATAACAGTTTTCTTCTACTGCACTTTTGTTGTTTGACAAATGTTAGAACACACACACATTTGGATACCTGTGTGTATGTGTGTTTAATACAAATATGACAACTTTACTGCAAACAGAACAAGTGTCTTTATTTTATACCATCAGTGTGTAGTTGGTGCTACATGTGCTTATTCAAATGACCATTTGTGTGTAGTGTATATACACAAAAACTCAATGTCTTAACAATTGTTTGCTTTTGCAGGAGGTGTATAATGTTTTCCTGGTTTGGTGTGAGGTTTTGTGGTTAGTGTGTGGCGCTTTGCACTTTACTTTCAAAGATAACACCTAAGTAATCAGAAAAATCTGTGATCACATGAACACAACATGAAACAAACCCAGCCAGAGCTCGTCTAGTGAAGTGTGGATTTCTGTTAATAAAATATTTTTTCCAGACACTGACTGCAGTGTGTAATAGGCCTGTGAGACTTAATCAAACTTTATTCATGTAAGAGTTCTGTATGCCTTTGATGTCTTAACAGCTTGACATGTGTACTTGCAGTTCCTTGCTGCCTTTTGACCCGTAACATTTACGTCAGAACACACGAGGCCGAATTTATTAATAAGTCTGACATCACATTGTAATTTTATTGGCAATGTAACTGAAAGCTTTTTAGGTAAAATTATCTGTTTCCTGTTTCAGGTCATTAATACTGGAACACTTTAGCTACCATATTTTCATTCTGAATGTGGTGTGACACATTTACAGGCGAACCTGGGCTCGTGTAAAATTGTGTTTTAATCTTGTAAGGTTGTTTAGAGCCATGGCTGCATTATGAAGCAAAAACAGAGCAACGGGATTAATCAACATCCATTTATGAGTGCTGCGGCTCACCACGCAGTCTGCATTCTGGGTGAGCCTCTTCAGTGTGAGCAGCGAGTTGTACGGCTGAACGACCACGTCACTCATCTCATCCTGGTTTGGGAAAACAGAGTAAGTCTGCACCAGCTTCTTTGGGTACCTAAACATTAGAAAATATATTAGTCACACACCATGCCTCAAAATGTTTGACTAAAATAATAGTTGTCCAAAATGTTGCATGCGTTTGTTGACCTGTCATTGAGTTTTTCCAGCAGATAGGATCCCAGCCCCGAGCCCGTCCCCCCAGCAATGGAATGACACAGGACAAACCCCTACAAAGACAAAGAGTTACTCATTACTCACAGTTCACCTTTACAGCATATGCCACGTGTGTAAAAAGCTTACTGTAAACTCTACTGATGCAGAAAGCTGACTGTGTGTGGGTGAGCAAATGCCTCTCTTCCTTGGCAGTTATATAAATGGTTGTGCAGCAGCCCCACCTCACAAATAGGCTCCCTCACCCCCCAGCACAGCCCTGTAATACCTGCCTTCTACACTCGCCCGGCTATTATCACCAGACATTCTACACGCCACACCCTGCCAACATACACACGCTTACGGCAGCTCGGCCCACCTTCTTATCCAATGCACACATGAGTGCACACACTAAATAATAATGTGGGGCCATAACGTGAATGAGTTACAGAAATTGCAGACCTTAGAGGGGAAATGCGAGTGTTATTTTATGGAAGGCTGGCAGCTGAAGAAAGTTCACCAAAAAAAGAGGCTAAGAATAATAGTGAGGCATGGCTGAGGCTTTGCAAGGCTTAAGATGACAGGCACTGGCACCATTTTAACATAGTATTCAAGTCATTCATTTTTACATGCATTTAACCACATCAGAGACAAAAGAGTCTGACTGGATGTCATGCTTGAGTGCAAACAAGTATTCGCTGATACTACTCAGACCATGGCTGGATTACTGAATGGGCCACCTGAGCTTCATCTACAACATATCTCTGAAAGAGACAACAAATAACCACAAACAGACACAGAACAGCCACTGCACGACCAAAAACAGACACAGAACAGCTATGAAGAGACACAAGACACAGCTGCATCGTTTCTTGGCATTTTGGGTCTCTTTCTGTCAGGGTATCTTGCCGCTACGAAGGAAAAGAGAGGGGCCTTTTCCACGTCTGTGCCCAGGCTCCTTCTGTCTCATAATCTGTCCATTATTCAGACAAAATTCCAGCCTTTCTACAGGTTTAATATATACAATGAACTCATCTCATTATTGGGGCTCATGATCCAGTTGGGATAAGACTGTCATTAGACTATACTGTGGAATATTTCTACACACTAGACACAGCAATATCACATTACTTTTAAATCAGTTTTTAAAATTCCACACAGCCTCAGCCCTGATCACTCTCGGCCCCAGGGACAGTCAGTATGTGATAAACGGCAGACTTGCCTCCAGACTGTCGCTGCCATCTGCCTCCCGGTCAATGATGTCAAAGATGTCTTCCTGGATTTTTTTGCCCTTGAGGGGGGGAAATAAAGCCGGAGCAGAGTTTTAGATGCATTACATTTTTATTTCTTAAATCTAAAGAAAGAAACATGTCATTTCCGGTGATCACCTGTGAATATCCACTAGCCCAGTTGTTCCCAGCACCTCCACCGTGCTCAGACAGGTAGATGTTCTCTGGGTTGTACAGGTTGGCATAAGGCGAGTTGAGGATGGAGTGGATCACCCTCGGCTCCAAATCTAGGAGAACTGCGCGGGGGATGTAGTGCTCATCATCAGCCTGTGGAGTTTTGTGAAAAACCAGGAGTTAGCTGGTGACACTGTACAGTCTTGAGGTTTGCTTGCAGTGTTACTTTAGTTTTTACTACAACCACTCCATCTAGTGGAAAATCATGTTGTTGCACTTCAAGCATAGTCTAATGATGACTGAACATTGACTGTATATACTGTGCAGACCGTCTACGGTGCAGACAAGATGTGCCTCTTTTAACTCATGATGTGAGAGATAACGAAGTGAAGCAGTGTTTGCAGCAGTTACCTGATAGAAGAACACGTCCTTTCTGTCAGTCCCTTCAGTTGCAAACTCCTCAACAATCCCCTCTGGACTGATGCCATGCTCTGCACACAGCTGCTTCCAAAACTCAAAACCAACTACAACACACACAAAGGAGCAGATAAACAAAACGTTAGCTCGTGTTAAACAGCAGTTTGTGACATTACAAGCTTATTAGACAACAGTAAACACGTCAAGCATCGTAACCTACAGCGTTGTCTGAGTGACGCTGTACAGGTAACGTTAGCTAACCTACGTTAGATACAGTTGCTATGTAAAGACCCCATTAGCCACAGATCAGCTAAGCTAGCCAATACCGTCGATGTTTGTGTTATATTTTGATATAGCTTGAATTGATACTGGCTTTGAGCTAGCCTCGTTACATGACAGATCATCTTAGCTAGCCAACTTAAATGTTGGACATTGGCTAACGAGTGGTAGCAGTCTTCATATTAACTTCGTCTTTCACGTACTTTGATTTCCACATTGTCCGAGCTGGAGCGTTATGATTTCCCGCGGCATGTTCAGTCCTCAGTTGCTCCTTATTTAGCTAGCCCGCTAGCTGCTTGCTAGCTAAATAATACAAGGAAAGTAGACTGCTGCTCAAACCGCTCCACCAACAGCCCGCTCCTTCCCGCTTGGTGCTGATGTGACGCTCCTGGTGGACTTCTTCTGCTGTTTACAAGCGGGTTGCTAACAGTGATTGAAGCTGCTTAGCGACGCCTACTGTGTAGGAGTGTGCCGAGTCATAAAGAGGACAACTCGGCACATTCAAAGCAGAAAATCCGAGTTAGATGTACAGAGTCTGTGAGCTAAGATCACCTGAAAACCACGAAGGATGCTCTGCTTTGGGTTAGCTGCCTATACTATGAATGTAATATAAAACTTTAATTTAAAAGTTTTTATTTTGAATGTCTTAGCCGGAAGTATGAGTATGCTATTTTTTTCTCCCTTCACACTCGTGTAGTTGATTAAATTTTGCAATGAGTAAGACTACATTAATAAGGAAAAATGTGTTAATATGTCCGTCACAGTAGGCTAATCACTGCACCCAAATAAGAGAGGATGTTGTCAACTGTAAATTTAGTAATATCTTTTCACAACATATATGTAAAATTACAAGACAAAACTAAATTGGAGCAAGCACAAAAATAAGTTTCCACCTTTATGCTAGTGAATTACTTGTGGTCATTATAGGAATCATGCGTTTTATGCCCTCTGGTGGCCACAGTGGGTAACTACAACTGAACGCTATGTAAAGTTAGACATAATAGCATTGTATTGCTTCCGGTAAAATCCTTCAAAAATAAAACTTCTATGAAAGGCTGTAATTACATATTGTGACCACTGGAGGGCAGTAGAGAAAAAATATTAACACTAAAGGCTTCAACATTATCTTTGAACAAACCATCAACTGTAGTGCCAAACCTTTAGGTAGACACAGCTTACTAAATCCTCCAACTATCATTGCTCATCTGAAATATGATCAATCGTTTCTTTAGACGACAAGAACGAACTTTATCATTGTAAATCATTTTAATCGAGCTCTAGTCACAGCTGAACAGAACTGTGTTTCTGATATACTGACATTTTAATGATTTCGGATATATAAAAGATAATAAAACATCCTGCGTTTTTATCGCAGAAAAACACGTACTGCATACCAAATCAGAGGCCACGGAACTTCTAAACAAATAAATAAATATTAATATATCAACCTTATTTGGCTTGTACAAAGCCATAAAAACATAAAGAATAAAAATGACAAAACAAAATGTGTCCATGAATATTTTAACCAAAAATATGTTTTCAGTGTGGCTTGCTGACTTGTTCGTCGTTGTACTGTACTCAAGTAAACAAAACCAAAATATTCCTATTCCACCTGAACGCAGCATGACACGGGGGCTCGTGCGGCTTCTGATTGGGCTGCTGAGGTTCTCAGAAAAACAGGCTACGCCATATTGTCAGCTTCCGATGTGAGCGCTAATGCGATATCCCTGCAAAAATGACAAAATAGTAAGTGTCATCTCGTTTTAAAACATTTCAGCATTTTACTATGATAACACGCTTGCTTCGAATATAATGATGTGCTTGGTGTTAGACGCTAACACGATGATATAGCTGGTGTCGCTAGCCGTTAGCTTAGCCAAGCATAGATGCGTTAGCCGATGTTGTGAGTGGAGCTGCTCCGTGGCGCTGTGGTGCTCCTCATGTACCTGTTTCCACTTTTGTCTTTATTTTGCAGGCTGACTTTATCGACTGTAGACGCTAAGATGGCGCACACTGGGACAATGGAAGACGCACAAGTGGATGATAGCTCTACCCAGCAGGGGTCTGGTGTCTGCCTGCGAAGTCGACCATGCTCCAGCGAGAGAGACGGTCAGGTACGAGCTGTCAAAACTGCTCTTCAGTCCAGGTTGGGGCCCTACGAGCGCGTCCTGACCTACCTGCAGTCCGTCTTAGTGTGGGAAAGACCCTTACAATGTCTGCTTCTCTACACTGTGGTCAACGTTGTGTTCTGGTGAGTCTCAGCTCAAACCCGGTGCAGTTTGATGGCAAACTTGTTCTGCTACCTCTGTGTGTGTGTGTGTGTGTGTGTGTGATTGTTATAGCAACCTACTTTGAGACAATACAGAGACTGTCTGATCGTTGGGCGAAAGCCAATGTGACCGCAAGCAGCTGCTGCTTTTGCACCAAGCAAATGTTTCACCTGTCAATTCAAGACAAGGCAGATGGCTGACTAGTGACTCTATTTATAGACACACTCTTCAAACACTTCTACCTTCAGTGTTGCTCCTAACCAAACTGTTTTCTTAATCTTGAAAACATGATGCAGTGGATTATCAGCTTTACCAATTTCATTATTGCTGCTAGAGTGTTTGAGACTGTGCATAAGGTAATTTACAGGTCAGCGTGTTGTCAGTGCAGAAGTAAGAGGACATTCATTTTTAGTGTGTCTATTAGTGGCTTTGGTACAGCACATCTATAACGTTTAAAGCACATGTCAGCGAATAGCAGGCTATTTCTATATGTCTCAGTTTTACCACGTGTGATAACATTCACTTAGCCCTACACTGAAAAAGCACCTACACAATAAAACCTTATGAAGAAGAAATAAATCAAAAGGAAAATAGGAAGATTTGGCTAAATTAGGTGACCTTGATAATGTTGTATGGCGTGGATCACTGACCTGGGAAACAGAGAGGGGAAGCCAGGCTGGCTTGTGGAGCTCAGGCATTCAGCCTTTATTCGATTAGACCACTGGGCATGTTAGGCTGCTCGTCCTGTTTGCCTTTTACTTGTGCTTCAACACACACTCAGTGGTGCAGGCTAGTTTCTGCCTAAAGATGTGCACTCATGATCTATACTAACACATGAGGCGAGGGATGATGCCAAGTCACATGGAGATGAGGAGCGATATGAGCAACCTCTCTGCTTGTAGATCACTTAGGTTGCTTTGATTTTCTCTCTTAAATTGAAATCACCAAGTGGAAATAACCACACAATGAAATACATCTTCATAAAGTGCTTTTTAAGTGAGTTGAAAACTTTGTCAATGGGTACATTTTATTGTTTTTTTAATAATTTGTAGTACGAGTTTACAGATTGTTGCATTCACATGGGGCTAGGTTTACTTAGACATTTGCATTCTGTGTTTTCAGTAGCTACTAATTGCGCTGCCACCCCAAATACCAACGCATCTCACTCTGCCAACAAACTCTTTGTTAGGTTAATCTCTAACTGCTGATTGGCAGAATCCTGTAGCATTGTTGTTTGTCGTCAACAAATTTCAAGGTCTTGTGATCTGAAAGTGGAGCAATACTTGGGGACTTAAATTTTTTGAGGCTTAAGGAAGTGAAAGTTGACACCAGGACATTCAAAGATGGAAACCACCTAAAATGAAACACCTGTGATATCATGATAGAGATGTGCAGCCTTTAGCTTTTCTGTTAGTGAATGGGAACTATAATTAATCAACACTTTGCATTGCACTATGCAATAACTAATGGGTGTAACTCACATTAGAGGGTGGGTTAACCTCTTCTGTTCTTGGCTCTTCTTAAAGGAAACAGTAGATCATCACTGAAGGGTTTTAGTCTTATGAATTATAACAAGCAGCTGAATTGTGTAAGTATTGTGTTATCATTTACTCATGGGGCTATCAGTCATTAAAAGTACTGTCTGTTCATGTGTTTGCTCTGGGTTTTTTCCCCCCTCCAGGTTCTTCGCCCTGACCTCACTGCGCCTGCTGTTCCTGCTGGCTTCTGGTCTGGCTGTAGCTGTCTGTGTTGATACCTGGAAAAATAGGATCTGGCCCGAGATTCGAGGTGCCACAAGTTGTTTCTTATGGGGGGCTCTGTAGATCTCTCTAACAGACTCTGACATGTTCTGTACTTTTCCTTTACTTTCCCTCTTTCTTGCAGTACTTGCACCTTAGATAATCCCCCAGTTCACTGTGATTGCAACAAATGCACTTTGTCAGAGTAGATATGGCATCAGTCTGCAGCCCTACACTCTGGACTTTGCAAGTGACCTGTACTACATCTGGAACAGCTAATCTCCCAAACCTGTTTTTGAACTTGTGTTACATACCAAATGTACAAAGAGTGGAAGCTTGAGAGCAAAGTGCAGCATGTGCAACACAATTTAGACTATGCCTTATATTTTGTACATGTAGTAAAAGTAATTTCATGATGTGCATTGTGGTATATAATGTTTCTCAATGCCATGGATGTTCTCTATCTCCACAGTCAGAAACCAGGATGAATCAGAAAATGAGAGGTTAGTTACTTTAACTCTCAGCCAGTATTTAAAGCTAATGCCAACAATAATGATAATATTACGAGTAGAAAGCAGATAAAGGTGTTAATAATTCCCTGTATTTGTCTAGCTGGGGTCTGGTGCAGCCCGGCATCCTCAGTGTGCCTGAACTGTGCCATCACATCGCTGAGGCCTGGGTCAGCGCAGCAATTCTTGCATCCAGTGTGGTGCAGTACAAACGACAAAACCCTGGCAAGGTGAGGACCGCAGGATGGAAACGCAACTTTTTAATTGTGCAATTAAAGTCTGTCACATTGGATTACATTATTATGCAAAGTAAAAATCTCAAGTATTTTAGAAATCACTCAGTGAAAATCTGACTGTCTTCGTAACTCTTTATTCTCAAATCAGGCACCACAATTTATTTGTATTATATAACTGTAGTGCTTACAATAAAGAGTAAATGACAGTAAGTTGTACTGGATACATGCACCCTAGTTAATGTGCATTGTAGGTGTTGACTTTTGTCGTTGCTCTGTGTCAGTTCTGCCTCTTGACCTGTGGAGTGTTCACCTGCCTGGCTATGGTTGGACGCTACATTCCTGGATTGGTGCTCTCCTACTCTGCCGGTGAGTCCTAACTACAGATCCAGGCTCCTTCACAGGACCATGTTGGCAGGGAAACTCAGCCTGACTGCTCCTATTAAAAATACATGGATGGTGAAACCAGATCTGTGGGGCCCCAGTACCAGGGCCCAGCCT